CTCAGTCACTGTGTCAGCCAATCTGGCTGGCCTCCTTGCTGTTCTTCAAATACGAGGAGGCTTCAACACGTTAATAAAATCTTTAAAATCATGAAAAATATCCACCTCTCAGACACCATGCAGCCTCCAGGTCCTAGAATCTTTCTACCCGGGTCTCGTCTATCTGAACACTCTTCCTCTAGTTGCTGTGTGGCTTCATCTCCTTCAAGTTTTCCTTCAAATGCACTTCCCATATGAGTGGGCTCATTAGTTGTGACAACGGCATTATAGTTTTACAGGAGGAAAAGTCCATAAAGTTTGAGGGCTGCATGTGATTTCATCTCCAATGCTGTTCTTGTCTCAAGACCCCGTTCTCCAGCTCTACCAAGATTCTGGGACCTTCCTGTCTATTTGTTGATGCTGGGAATTATGCTATATTTGGGGGGTCAGAGTGAGGGAAAAAATTATTTTGTACCTTGTCTTAGTGGAGGAAAAGAGATTTTTAATCAAATAAAACTCACCAGAGCCACTGATGACCTCCATAGTACTAAAACCCATGACTCATCCTTAGTCTGCATTTTAATCAGCAGCACTAACACAGCTCTTACTTCTCTCCTCATCATATCCTCTTCCTTATTGTATTATTTCTTCTTTTTAAGCTTCCCTCCTATCTTAATGGTTCCTTTTCTTCCCAACCCTTTAGGATTACCCCAGACATCACTCCTTTGTTCTCCTCCATCTACACTCATTTCTCTTGGTGATCCTATCCAGTCTCATGACTTTCTACACCATTCACACAATGATTCCCATAGGTAAACTTGCTGAAATCCACTCTCATATATGCATCTACCTTCTTAGCTTCTCAATGTAGATATCTAATAGATATCACACTGTTAACATGTCCAAAACCTAACTCCTGGTCTACCCTTTCTAAATTTATTTCACCCACCCTGTATCAATGGAATTTTAAGGAATCCCATCCTTACATTCTATTTAAGATTGTAACTTGCCTCTGACCCACATTTTCAATCCCCCAACCAAGCTCTATTTGCTTCTCAGCATTTACCACTTCAGAATAACACGATTGATAAATCTGGTGGGTTTTGCTCTT